GGGGGGGGGGGGGGGGGGGGGGGGGGGGGGGGGGGGGGGGGGGGGGGGCGTGGCATGTTCCCTGATTCGTCGCCCGAGCCCCTTGGTCGTTTTGGTCGTTGTAACATGTAGTAGAGTTGGCGGCCCTTCAGCGTTTGGCCGTTTGATAAGATGCTTTCTTCTGAAAGTGGTTGTTACAGCGTCTTCTCGAGGGTTATCTTTGCTGTCCCGAGCATTGCCTTCGATGCGCAGCCGTGTCTGTACAGACCGATGCAAGAGGGACCAGCCCACCCCATGCCAACGCCCACGTTCTCGGCTACAGTTACCACGCATTGTACATGCCCTTGCGGCTTCTAGGCATCTTCCCCCTCACCGAGCAGCAACACGTCAGTGCTACGCACACCACAGCATCGACACCAAAACAAGGATAGGATAGCTTGCCAATGTGCAACACAAACAAATCCAGCCATCCTCCACGATCAGGATAGGGCGCGCCCTTGCCGAATTCAAACATGTTTTTAACATCCGACACCATCACCACACTACATTTGAGGAAATCACTCCATGATGCACAGTGATGTAGGGGTAGCGGAGCGGAGCTTCGGCGGGCGCGGCTGACGCTCATGACGGTGACAACGGCATCAAAAACTGGTCCACCTTGTTGGGCTATTCCGGACTGACCGCCCTTGATGCAGAGCATGCCTACTTTTCGCTGGGTTTCGGTCCACGTGTTGTTGCACTCCCGTATCGGAGACTGCTTACTGACGTGCTCGCAAGCAGTGCTACGGCGGTGAAGTCGATTATCGTTTAGAAACTGGTTGGGCGTGTCAAAAGGCAACGTTTTTATTTTTTGGTGAGAACACAGAACGATGCAAGAATCAACGATGGGACAATTTTTTTGTCGTCTCGTACAATAACTAACTGTATACTAGACAACCTCTGCCTGTCGTAAATTCTGCGTACACACCACTTCAACACAGGAACGAAATCATGCTTTTAGAGCATCAATGGAAACCGGGTGGGGGGGGGCCAAAATACAGGAGAGTAGTGGATACAGGGAGAAATAGATCGACATCCTTCGACGAATAGATGATCTAGACTGATGGAAATACACAGTGTAGATACGTTTGGGTGTACGCGGATACTACACCAAATCTTCCACCGACTTGGGACTACGTGCTGTTCATCCGCAACAGATCATCCACTACTTACACAAGCACAACCAATCTAGTCTTCAAGCTATCGACCGTACTCCCAGTCGCTCAGCGAGTAGGGGCACGAGGTAGGGGGGGGGGGGCAACCACACTCACGGAATATTCTAATGCTGACTAGTCTAATGGTGTAACTTTATCGAATAAAATTACCAGGCACCAGAGGTTGCACCAACACTCAACTTTCCATATGCAGAGTCTACATGCCTCCCCTCTCTCGCCGGACTAGACTACATCATAGTCTCTTGGCCGATTCAATCGGGATAAATTAGGAGACACGTTCACCGTCATCGCTACCCTCCCCTTGTGCCTGCGATGCAGACACTGACTTGATGCACGGGAGTCCACTATTTGCACCCACCGGCGGCACCACACGCATCAGCTGTCATGCAACCCCCCCGCAAACGTACGCAACGGCCAGCGCCGAGACAAAATTCCGGGCGGCTGCCGCTCCCACCATCGCGTCGGCCGCCACCTTCGCCGTGGCAGCAGCCGCGCCGTGCCCGTAGCAGCAGCTTGTGCGGCTGCTGCTTTCCTTGCTACTGGCGGCGCCGCCTTCCTCGGCGCCGCGGGGTTCGGTGGCGCGCTTCCAGTGGCAGATGGACACCATGGACCTTACGTGCGCGACGTTAAGCAGCACGTTCGCCGCGGCATCCGTCAGCAGACGCGCCTCGACGATTTCCTGCCTGGCCACAACCTCCATCGAAACGATCATTCGGTGGTAAGTCGCCCCGCCACCCCTACTACTCCCTTCCCCCCGGGCTCTCATTGCACCGTATTTCTCCTCGGCAATGGAGAGGATGGGGGCAGGGGTGGCGGCGGCGGCGGCGGTGGCGGCGAGGGAAGCGGGAACAAGTGCGGCGACTGTTCTCGCCGAGTTGGAGACGAGATGCAGGGCGGTCGAGTGCCCCTGGCGGCAGTCTTCTAGCAGAGCCGCAATGGCACGTTTCTGGGCGTCGACGAAGGGGAGGGTAAGTGGGTGGTGGTACAACCAAAAGAGCATTTATGACTTGCACCGAGTTTCGGGTGGTTGCCTACAGGAGGAGGTTGTAAGAAGACTCGTTTGTTTGGGAACGGAAACACAAAATCAGAGCCAAAGCGGGCACTTCATGCACGTCGTTGGATACCCGCCCCTTACACATGCTGACCGAACCGTGAATGACTTGGTCTTGCAACAAGTCAGGCATCTGGCAAGACCGAAACGTGTAGACTAGACCTCGCGGTCAAGATGAAAAAAAATTACTCGCCTGAAAAAACGGGTCCGCCATCATCTCGGTCACCACTCCGCCGAGAAACGACGGCTCTAGCCCTAGGGTATTGGCCATCTCGCAGAATCGCCGGGAAGGGTCTTGGCTGCTATAGTCATCGGTGGGTGTCCTGCAGGGGGAAGGGGGGGCGTGGCGACATGAACAAAAAAAGGGATGGTATACAGAAAGACGTCAAGCTGAAGAAGTCCCCCATCGTTCGCACACAGCCACAGAGGTGTTGCGAGATCGTTGCTCCCGTGTTCTCTATGGATAACCCTCTTGCGATCCCGTCCAGCCATTTGTTTGCCGTCGTTGTTGTTGGACTCGCCTGCACCGATCCTCGCCACCCATCGGGCAGTACCGCGCCAACGCGCGAAACGTAGGAGTCACGAAGTCCATATTGTTGGTGCCGTAGACGAAGGCTGATGAGCGGGGCAGCGGGGCCGGGGGGGGGGGGGGGAGTTTGTGCGTTTCTTGGAAAACATCAGAGCATCGCGAAAAGACTACCCGGCGCATTGAAGTATTTGCAGTGAGGACTGAGGAAGAAAACATCTCTCGCAAAGCTTCGTCTAACTTGCGAGATGAGGTCAGGACAGGGTGGTCGCACAGGTCTCACGAAACTATTCCTCCTGTCGGCCCTACTCCACATGACGTACAGATGTCATAACGGCACTCCAATACCCGATACAACAGGCACGCCATTGGTCGAACGTGAGTCCCGTGCGCGCTTAGTTGGGCCGTTTCTCTGCGCCCTACTTCATCGTAGATCGACGTCCCTTGCGTGTACCAATTCCACCCGAATAATAATGTGGAATATTAGGTAATGTATGTAGCGGATATGCATATTGTACAATAGTCCTTGTTTCGCTCTTCGTGAACGATCTGTGCCGACGGGCGTTCGTCTTTAATTTTTTTGGGGGGGGGGCAACGGGAGAATTAACGCTCGGAAGCATTGACGTGTCGCGTCGATTACGACGATACAGAAGCCATTTAGAGAAAAGACCAAGCCGGTCAACCGCATTTCATCCTGTCGAGTACAACCTCTACATACACTAATGAGCAGAGATCGAGTGATTGGTGCTGAGATCGTAAGGTCATGTGCGTACGTGCCACACATATCAGCAGCAGCAAGTTTGCGAGAAGACCTGCGGTCTACAAGTATCGCAGCACTGTTGCGGTCGATGGACAGGAAGCGCACGACCAACAAACAAAGCAGTTGTCCACATATTGAGCGACACGCAGAAGATCGTTGTCCCGACTTGCTGCCGAGCCTGACAGCAAAAAGTCATAGACTAGTACTCGCGGCAAGCTTGCTTGTTGCCTTCTACAATTGTAGTACAGCGAGCGGTAGAAGAGGTGTATATTGTTGACCCAACTCTATGCCATGCTGGGTGAATGAGCTACATACGTCACAATCCTCTCGACTTCCTCACTCAATCGTCGAACGAAACAAGCCCACGGCACAAGACTACCTATAGCCGTCCCACACATACGTACAGTAATTACGTCGGAACAGCCGAAGGCACGTGCTTCTTCCTCCCCCCTGTACCACATCCTCACCGTGGTTTCGATGATGATCTGAGGATGAGCGACAAGGAAAGCTCTCCGTGATGGCGGTGTGAGCAAAGATATTGTGTGCGAGCGCCGCCGGTAGATGTGGGGGGGACATTGAGAATGAAAGAGTCGACGTCCTCGCGAAGAAACGGGTCGTTTTCTGAAACCGTCGAGTTCGTCATCTTCATTTATCCGACAAGAAGCGGAACGTTGGGGGGGTCGTTCGGGTGTTGATAATACTCGCGGCCAAAAAATGACCGCACCTCTTCTACAAGACTGGACTGCATACTCCCGGAAACAAGCTACGTACCGCATTCGGACAACACCCCGACCCCTGAAATACTGTGTGTGTGTGCAGCAGGTGTGCCAAGACATTCCCGAGAATAGCCGTGAAACAAACGTGCTCTGTCTTCCTGCGGAAATAGACGCCGAAGATTCTCTCTCACGTGCGCTCCCCTGCTACCTCACTCGTAGTGCTACGGAGCAGAAGTAGTGTTTGTGTCTCGAGAGTTGTACGTGGGGGCGGCGGTCACTCACTAGCAGTAGTTTGGCAGGAAACATGGCTTGGTTGCAGATGTTATGTTTTTTGGTCGGTAACTGACAAGAGTTTGATGTGAAGACAACAACAACAACAACTGCGGCGCGCCACAAAATAAACCTGGCATTTCTTCAAGAGCTATCCGACACACCCTCCTCCTGCGTGTGACGAAAACCGCAGCTTGTCGAAAGCAAGAGAGCTCTCACTCAAGGCGGAGACCGCGCCCAGGAACAGCACCTTACTATCGATCGGCGTGTAGGTGTTCGGAGCACTGACGACGCAAACAAGCGTCATCGTCCGCAGGTTTCAACACATGACCCACGAATGTCATCAAAAGCGCAAGACTGTTTTTGTAACACTGCCGTGCGTGTCGTGAAGAACACCAAAGGAAAACAAACATGAAAACGACTTGTAGAACACTACTGTAGTTGGGCCGGCAGGGAAGGCTACCACGGGTGCAACGAGCAGAGTGGGTGATTGTGAAAGGCGAATTCACAATCTGGTGCCGTCGTCCAATGGGACGGTGGACGCAGCAGCCAAGGATAACGTAGCACGTGCCTGACGCCATCGTAACCGCGGGGACGACTCGCCCTCCCCCCCAACCGCCCCCCCCCCGCCCTCCGGAACCTGTACAAGGCAGTAGTAGCCAGAACGGGTTCGAAGGCCACACGTCGAAAACAGGCGAGCCCATGGACAAAGAACAATAAGCCGGCCCCATCTCTTCGCGCCCTAGCATCCCATCGAAACAAGAAAACCCTCCCCTCCCCGGCATAGCCTGTTCGAAACAACAAAAAAGCGTGCTCAAGTCCCAGGGCTTCGTGCGAACGCGAGGCCTACAGTAACGGTCAGGACACAGACGTCATGCACTTGACATGACTGACCCTCATCCCTCCCTCATCCTCCGCGAGAACCCTCCATTTCCTCAACGCAAAAAACAAATGAATGAGAGAGACGTGAAAAACCCTTTCTACACGGCAAGGTAGTCCCCGTGGAAGTGCATCGCGGCTACCGCCGCCGCGAAGAACACCAGGTTGCGTGCCCCCCACGCGAGCGCGCCGGCGGTCTTGGCCTTGCCATAGGCGTTTCCGACGGCGGCGGATAGTGCTCCGGCGGCCCCCCTTCTCTTAGCCGCGTCAGACTTGACCGACCTCGTGCCGCCCTTGCTCTTCTTGAGCGCCGACTTTCGGACCCCCGCGCCGCCGCCGCCGGACTTCTTGCGGCTGCTTGCGGCTGCCGATGAGGGCTGCAACTTCTTGATCTGCGTTTTATTTTGTGTCACAACACACACAAAATCAGGGGGATGTCGTGGCGTTTGGGTGCGCGGGCGCAAAGGAGGAAAGATCTATCCAAAAAAAGGTGCTTCCGAGAGAGACACCGAGAGGCGCACCAAGCTTGCAGCAAAGCGGGGGTGGTGAGGAGGGCTGGTTGTCCCCTTCCCACACGAGCGAGGGCGCCCGCCGTGGACTTACACAGGTGCAAAATCGCGGGCAACGGTGCATCCATCGCAAAGCGGACACATGGTAGGCCAGGGCGGTGCGATCGATCGTGTAACAGAGACACGAAGCAGAGATCGCGCCAAGAGGTGAACCACAAAAAATGAAGTATGCATCCTAAGGAATCAACAAAAAAAAAAGCAGCTCCCTCCTGATCGAGTCACCCGCCTATAGCGTTCTCACGGAGATGCGCGAACCGATAGTTGCAAGCACAGGCCAAAAAACGCAACCACAGGGTCATTGATGCCTACTCATCGCGAATTTCGATCGACTGGGACCAGTACAACAACGGGAGCAGCCGCGTACTCCAACACAGATATGAGGCGAGGGGTAAACTGGGGGGGGGGGGGG